AAAAAAAAAAAAAAAAAAAAAAAAAAAAAAAAAAAAAAAGAAAAAAGGCCTAGTTCCCTGGTAATCTGGAATTGTTTTTATGACTTCTGGCCTACTTAATGGTGGTCAGATACATGCTTAGCCCTTGTCAAAGACTGGATGTGTTGTTCAGCAAATGGAAGAATCATTACTGCAAGCTCCATTAGAGATTAGCTGGACAAAGCTCCTGGTAGATAAGAATAGCAAGACAAATAGCCGTAGGTGACAGCACGCTCCAACACCTGGTGGAATCCAGCAGCTTGTCAGCTTTTTTTGGAGGCTTGCCCAAAAGTGTGTCAGGGCTGCAATAGTACTCTTACTCTGAGCTGCAGGGAACTTAATTCATCTACTGCTGCCAGTTTTTGAGGGGAGTTAAGCTAATGGGATCAGTTCTGAGTAAGGGGAGGGTTGCTGTACTATTAGAAGCACTTTCAGCTCCCCAGTTCTCCTTCTTTTAAAGACCAATCCTGTCATTTGAATTTTGTGAATTCCATCACTTTCTTGTCCTAAAGGGAGTGATATGGGGAGATTGACTGCTTCCCCTTCTGTTTCCACAGATGGTGATCTAATAAGTGTAGCCAAGCTCATCTCTACCTAGGAGATCTCCCCTGAGGAGCAATCCCCTTTTGCTGGACATGCTTACAGAACCGCACAGCCATGGACCTCAAGGAGAAGTGTCAGGTAGGTTTCATGATAAGGGTCATGCCCAACTTACAGGTTGAATCCTTTTAATTGTCTTTCATTACTTTGGGTCAAGACTCACCGTTTGGCTTTATTATGTGATGGTATAATCTGTGGTTATTATCAAAGTTGAGAGTTCTGTCACCTTCACATTCCTAGGGGTGTACTTGCTTGTATCAGTAGGTAAGTCCTTTGCAGGCTGGGACTGAGGCACCATGGTGGAACAACATAGGTGAAGTATATGCTGTCACATATGCTTTGTCTTTCTTGAGCTTTAAGTAGGCCTTCAGTCCCCTGGACACTTAGTTTGGCTTTATTTGAGAGGCTAAATTCACTGAGAAGATTTTTAAAATAAACTAAGGTGATGAAATCATCTGAGTCCAGTTTTACTGATTGTAAGTGTATGTATTTCTTGGGCAATTGCATGTCTTTCCAGGGAGTGCTGCAGGATAGCATTTCTAGATCGGGTTTAGAAAGTGCCAGATAAGTCTAGATATTGTATGGAGGGGCAATCTGTCTCTTGCTACCTTGCCATGCTTTGAACTTCAAAGGAAAAAGAAGAGAGAGAGATCTTCATGAACAGCTGCTATAGAAGGTAAAAAGACATATCTGCTGTGGCTGACAGGAGACTGTAAACTTGGCACATGTTACTACTTCCCAAAAGTAAAATGATTTTGATCACTTCAGTGAGTAGTCTGCTGGTCACTTATGTTTTAGCCATGTTTCAGCAGCCACCTGCGTATTAAATGTACTTCCCACTCAAAAAATTGAACTGGTCCTAATTCTGGATCCCAATCAGAAATGGGACAGGTAGTTTGGGACCAGTGGAGAACGTTATACATGCCAAGCTCTCAGCTGACTCTGGTAAGAGAACATTCTTGGCTTTCCTTTTTGGTGTCCCTCTCTCCACCACACTGTAAGCTTTGTCTGCCAGATCATGTTTGCTGTCTCTGTTATTCTGTGTGCATCCCTTTCTTGCTGTTCTGTTTACAGTGCTTCCAGCATCAAGAAGTGGTTTTGTTCATTAGTGCAAAGTACCCATTAATCACTTAGACTCAGACCTGCTCTAAAAGATTACTACAGCAGTGTAAGTGACTTAAAAGGTACTCAGTTTTTCCACATCAGCTCTTGCACTTGCCTACTAGACTTCTTATTTGCTAGGTTTTCGGTTCTGTAGTGTGTTAGACCAGGAAGGCCTGGGTTTACTCATGCCTGAACCTCTTGCTGCTGGTATGCTCGGGGGACGTGTTTGAACTATATTGTTTTATATCAAATTGCTGTGTTACTATGGAGGTAACATTCCAATGAGGATAATTATCTATTTATTCTTTTGTTAATGACATCATGGTCTAATCTGGTATTGATGATTTTAAAGAGATGACGCAATTACCATTCTGTACAGGGATGTGTTCTGTGTAGGATCTGAGAGCGCAAGCACTGGCATCGCTGCAGCCACAGCAGAGCACAGCGAGGACACTTTCACTGTAGGTCACTATCTTTGGTTCATCTCTCTCTTTCTCATATGACATTCTTCATTGTACAACACAGGAAGAGCATGTCAAATTGCTGGACAGGCAGCAGCGTGGACAGTATTGTAATAGACCTTTAAAAGGCCTATTAGGAGAGTGTCCTGCACAAGGAGATTACGGGGGGGAATCATGGTGTTCTGAAGTCCTAGTCTCCTCTCCTGATTTACTGAAGTTTTTTCTCCCTCCTTTCTGAATGGGGGTTAAAAGTGAAGGCAAGAGATCATCACACTCTTTTCAATAGGAATTTAAAAAAAACATTGATACATACAGCTGCATTTTACAACTTACTTTGTTTGGATTCTGAGAAAAGACCATGGTTTTATTCTTGTTAGCAGTATATTATTTGGTGTTAAGGAGTTTGCTCCTATTTTTTTTTCAATACTGCAGATCCTTGTTTCATCCCCTTTAAGGTGGAATCCATCTTCCTTTCCAAAGTGAAGAACTTGGACACATATATGCTGATAACGGAACAAATTAACCTGCTATATAACCTCAGTAGTAAATTTGATGTGCTAGGTTTATTTTAAAATGCTAAAAATAAAATGAACCCAAGGGAAAACACTAGTCCCAAATCTAGTTCAAAGCAATCTCTTTGCTCTAATATATGTGTGTGATGAAGAGTTAGCACTCCTGGAATAGAAGACATGCTCAGAGCACTGCTGCAGCACAGACATCTGTCACTCAGAAAATGAGAGACTTGTCCTCTGGCTCCAGTCAGCTAATACAGTTCTGTTGTCAGAAATGGCTGAGGATCAGTTTGTCAGGTGTAATGTAGGCCGCCTTCCAATTTTTGTCAGAAGCCAGACACTGCAGAGAAAGGCGGAGAGTATTTTAGGAGCCAAAACCTTCTTAAGTTAAATGTGCTGATATCTTGTTCTTTCCCCTCTTCTCCTGACTTTTTAATTTTCTGTGTATTTCTGAAGTGAATTTAATACTTGTGAAAGGTGCCAGAATCTCTGCTCCAAGACCCACTCAGCATATACCAAGACAGACAGCAGCACTGATTGCAACAGGACAGTGTTAGTTTGAGTTACTTTAGATATAGGCCGTATTTGCAGCAACACCATCTATTAAAAATTATTGATGTCATCCATACCACAGTTACCAATAACAGCTGAGCTGTATTATCCCAGTGTAATTGCTGCAGCCTGGAAACAGCACTGTGCCTCCTGGCCAGAGCTCAGAAATGTATTCAGGGAGCCTGTGCTGTACTCCACGTTGCTCCAGCTACAGCACTGTTGGTCCTGAGCTATCTTGTTCCAGGATGCCTAACAAGAGCTACAGTCCTACCTTTGGACTGAAAAGTAGCCCAAGTCCTTTGCCTTTTCTCATCTTGCCAGTAACTGTATCTCTTATCTCTAGATAACTGTAACTCCATAACTTTTACTCTATCTCTATCCCTGCTGTTCTCTAAAACCTCAGCTCTTCTTTCAAGGGCTTTTTCACAAACTGATCCTTTTTCCACAGGTGTCTCTCGTGTATGCTGCAGTTTTTGTATGGGTCTCAGTCCCCGCCTTTATACTCAGACTTTTATTTCAACCCAGAGTTTTATCTTCAGATCTCAAGTTTACAGCTTCTGCTGTTTCATTCTGTTATTTAATGCACAAGTGCATGTCCAGATGCAATTTATGATACCAGCTGATATCAGAAGGAAGCTACATAGTACAAATTACTGCCCTATACAAAACACTTTAGAGCAAGGTCTCTCAACAGTGGGGTAAACAAGAAGAGGCAATTTGATCCATTTCCATTTGTGTTCACGACCAGAGCTGGAGTTTCAGAGCTGGAAGAAAGTTGTGTTGGGACCTCTTAACTGCATGATGCACAAGGGTTATTCCTGGTATTGCACTGTCACCAGCAAGTTGTTTTATTCACATTCATTCAAGTCTCCAGAAGTTGCAGAGGCATGGGAAACAGCTCAGCAACCACTAAGCTAGGAAGGGGCTGATACATGTATGTTGTGTGAGGTTTTGCCCATTCTAACCCCATGTTGTTGATGCTTTCTTTTTTCTCCTTACTTTTTTCCTTTGTGTTGAAGTGAGTAGGTGAGTAGTTTCTTAGCAGGAAAAGAGGAAGGAAGGAAAAATTGTGCCGTTAGGACATTTTGTTCCTCTCTGCAGTTTAAAATTGTTGTCTAGGTAACAAAATGCCCTACAGAAGGATGAAGGATGTCTTGCCTCTTTCTCCCCCGCTTCCTCCTGAAGTGACATTAAATGCAGTGTCTGCTTCCCTTCAACTTTGGCTTTAAGAGCTTTGTGAGATTACATACTGATGTGTAACTCAGTGCTGACACAGAGATGATAACTAGTTCTTTCAGGAGTTGCCTTAGATCTAGCCTGCGCTGGGTTTACTGTAAATACTGAGACCTCTTAATCTCTGCACTTCTGGCTTTAAACACAGAATATGGGCTGTGACTATTTAGGTGTCTGAATCTCAGGGAAGTAAAGGAAGTGAAGAACTTGGCCAGGGACGATAGGCAAATCCTGATACCTGTACATGGTCTTCAAAGCTACATAATATGCTGAGACTGGAAGCCTTTCCAGTGCCTGTCTGTTCCATTCTATACAGACCGGCTGTAATTCTTGGCAAGCTATTGACATGGTTCTTGGCTGGGCCAGTTCTTTACCCCGTTCTATGTGGAATGGAAGTAATTGGTTTAGCGATTGCTTTGCAGAACTGTGAAGCCCCAGACAGAATTAGGATGGTACTGAAGTAGGAGCTATATAAAAACCCGCTTATAAAGGTCCTTCCCTCCAAAAATGAGAAGGAAGCATTCCTGTAAAAGATGAGAATGAGAGAAAAGGCTCATTCCTTCTTCACCTCCAAAGGCCTTTTTATCCCATTACCTGTTGTTCTACCCAGCCCTTCCCTGTCTACACTAATCCTTTGCCTTCTCTGTGCCACTGCCCAGGTGTCAGTAAACGGGGAGCCCCAGGCATGGCGCATGGCTATGAAGAATTTACGTGCACCTTTTGGTTTAGATTGTGTGGCTCAGGATGTATGAATATTGGATGCTGAGAGGGGCTTTTGCTGCTTTTTCTATCAACAAGAGGGAGGGAACACTTCAGACTGGACCTGTAACCATCTCAACTTGTTTAAATAGCAAATGCTTGTATTTTTAAATTAAGCTTGAATCCAAAGCTGTGGAGTCATCTGGAAGACTCTCCTAGATTTATATAGGGGAGTTAGTATTCCTGGGTCTCTCTGTCTCAGTCTAGTCTTTTTCCTTGCCTGCTTAGGTGTTCCTTCCCCTGTAGTATATTTTATAGCACTTTGTCCTGTCTAATTTGCCATCTGCTTTTCCGCAGACCCCTGTCTGTCAGCATCAACCCTTACTGTGCATGCATATGCATCTCTACAGGCAGGGAACCCAGGGATTCTGGCTGCATCAGCTCCATCTGATGAATGGACCATTCGTACAGACATCCCGTGCTATCCTGGGCAAACTTTCTTCCCTCTCTGCCTTTTTTT